TTTAATATGATTAATTAATTTTCACTATTAATTATATTTTATTATAACTGATTTTAGTTACTATACATCAACTGATATTTAATTTCAATGGTTGAGATCATGAGTCAGTCGAAGCTAGACCACCATGGAAAACCTGGAAGCACTGGACGGCCGTTCCGTTCTATTGTGAAACTCCTCAGCATTTTATTATGAATCACTAATTGGATGATTACAAGTTTACATTGAAAATTACCATTATTCTTTTCATAAACAGTTCTTTTATATTAATTAGTTACTGTATATAATTACTGATGATTACAATAGAATGTAATTGGTTAATAAACAAACAATCATTTTAAATTAATTAAATTACTTTTTATTTAGACCAATTTAATTTTAGTGATCATATCTTGTTGAGTATCAATGTTAAAATGATCTCAATCAAAAACTTAATCATCTCCACAACCCCTATACTAGTAATTACCATGTGTTCACTAGCAACTAGCTTCGTGAGGGAATTCTCGGAGTTCTAGTGAGAAACCGTGACCAGTTGAGCTAATCCATGTCGGTTAGAGACAGGTATCTACCTCAGTACAATGGAAGATGGTAGCGCAATTTCGTGGATTGGTTGATGCTAGATACTATCACCATTGGATGCTGGCTTAGTGGTCTAGTAGGTTAAGCATTCGCTCGCGAGACCGAAGGCCCTGGGTTCGAATCCCGCGAGCGGGATCGTGGATGCGCACCACTGAGGAGTTCCACAATAGGACGAAATGGCCGTCCAGTGCTTCAAGGTTTCCAAAGGTGATCTAACATCAATCGGTTCATGATCTCAATCAAAAACTTAATAATTTACACAACTCCTATACTAGTAATTAAAATGAATAGTTTGATTTTTTGTTTTGTGATTCATGAATAATCGATATATATATATATATATATATATATATATATATATATATATATATATTGAATCAATGCATACATCGACTATGCTTTAAATTAACCGCTATTTCTACCATGGATACTAGTCTTGTATTAAGACAAATGTTTCTGAAGGTCAACCATGTAATATTGATCAATAAAAGTTTCTGTAAAGAATGCGAATGAATATTGGTGTAAATTAATCTTCGTCTTTTTTTTACTTAAAAGAAACGTTATCAATTATTACATTTTTCTTCTCTTAATGTATGGTATACTTAATAAGCTAGTCAAATTGAATTCTTCAAGCATTTCCATAGACTTCTTATTCATTAGTTATTAAATGACAATAAATATATTATAGAAAATTTTAATGTTAAATGTTTCTCTATACTCTAAGTATATTAATGGGATTCATAAACTGATATTATCGGATCACTTAAATTATTAATGATAAGGTCACTTAATTCATTACTGTGATTATCAGTGGATTTATAGGGCACGTACATTCCCACTTTTGCAAACATTGAGAAAGAACAGAAAAGGTATAGAAGAGCAGTTACAAATAACGTCTTTCTTTAGTTTCAAAACATACGTAATTGTAACGGTAAACTACAAAACTAGAACTCATTCTAAATAATAAGTCTGAGCAATTACATTATAAGAATATTTCTGATGCAAAGATGAGTGCCACTTTTCTAGCTAATTGGTTGATAACTAAAGACAGTAAAAGATATGAAAAAAAAACAAATGCTAGTAAGAAGCCGTGAGCAGTGGAGTATAATCCTTGTCGAGTACAGACAGGTATCCATCTCAGATAATAGCTGAAGGGTTGTGCAAGATCATGCATCGATTGAAATTAGACATTAACACCGTAGGATGCCGGCTCACTGGTCTAAAGATTAAACTCTCGCATGTGAGGCCGATGATACTGGGTTCGAGTCCCACGTGCGGGATCGTGAATGCGCACTGATGAGGAGTCCTATACTAGAACGAAACGACTGTCGGGTGCTTTTAGGTTTTCAACGGTAGTCTAGCTTAGATCGATTCATGAATTCAACTATTAAGATATTATATCCGTTTAACATCAGGCACACTTGATGAACCCCACCATCCACATCTTTTTCTAAATCATTCAATTACAGATTGTATATATATATGAACTGTTTTATTGTGGTTTTCAGATTAATGAATTTTAAATCAATAACTTAAAGGTTACACATATTCAACAATGAATCTGAATGTCCGATGTTCAATTATCTATACAATGTAACAGACAAAATAACCTTTCAATCCTCCCTACTATTTTTTTTGTTAATTATTCATAACTTTATATAATATAAATCATCCTGAGAAAGTCTATTCAACAAGAGAAACAATACAACAGTTGAATACATGAGTCCATTGAAACTACATCACTATGGAAAACCTGGAAGCACTAGATAATCGTTCAGAAATGAATAAACTGTACAATAAAATGTATAGGAACAAATATTTATTGTGTCAATTATTATTTTTAGTTTTATTAATTGAAGAAAAGGCATATATATCTCATCATTGCTTATTTAAAGCAATCTATTCAATATTTAACTAGTTAGTCATATGTCAGTCAGTCAGCTACAACGTAGGACTAGGCACATATATGCATCGGTCCAAGTTGCCATACCTCATTAACACAACAAGATGGACACCGGATTCATAAAAGTAGTTAATTCAGAGGTGGTAATATACAAAAAGAAAGATTGCATATAAGGATATAGTACAGGAAGAAAGAATTAGTTCATAGAAAGAAAGATATGAAGCGATTTTAATCTCTTAGTTTAAGGGAAGACAGAGAGTGTATACACCGACGCCATTGTGACCGATTCTGAGCCATGTCACCAAGAGTTTCCAGCCATTGGTTACGATAGTCACGCGGACTCCGACCAAGTAGTCTGCATCTACCAACATGGCTAAGACTAGAAGTTAGTGACTTCAAGCACTGATGCCACGTTTTGGTTTGGCCGCCCCTAACTTTCTTCCAACCATCCCGAACACCGGTTAGCATTGCACGTCGTAGTAATCGGTGTTCAGGCATACGTAACATGTGGCCCAATCATCTCAGTCGATGAAGGTTCACAACCTCGTCAACTGATTTACCATCATTCCCTAATACCCTGCGTCTAACTTCACTATCACTTATCCGGTGATCCCAACAGATGCGTGCAATATTTCTAAGACATTTGTTATCAAATACTGGTAATGTCCGAGTATCTTCTACTCTTAATGGCCATGTTTCGTAGCCGTAAATTAAAACAGAACGGACTGCCGCGCAGTATACTCGTCCTTTTATTGATAGACGGATATCTCGCCTTCGCCATAGGTGACGCAAGTTGGCAAAAGCCAAGCGAGCTTTTCGAATCCGTGCTGAGATTTCGTCAGACACCAACCCATTAGGGCTGATCAGACTTCCAAGATAAGTGAAGTTGTCAACGCGTTGACAATCCCTATGGATTAAACAATTAATAAACATATTTCTTTAGTCAACAATTAAAATATACCTAATAATTATAATAAATGGGAATAAATATTGTATTTCTGTTTTTGTTAACTAACTACCGGCCTATGATCCTTCACTAGGGATAAGAGGCATAAGTAAGTAATCAATATTTCAACATTTTTTTAGATTTTGCTTTACTATACTAGAATATATTTTGTTAGGGAATCAATAAGATTGGTAAGGAAACTATATTTATGATAATTTAATTGATATATATTTTTAAGTGGAAAACTTGAAAAGATAAGGATCATTGTTACATTTTTGATACCGTTTTCACTGAATTTTCAGTTTCTTTCTAGACAATATTATCATTAATTGAAATCATGAGTCAATTGAAGCTAGACCACAATGGGAAACCTGGGAGCACTGGACGGCCATTCCATCCTAGTATGGGACTCCTCAGCAGCGCGCATCCACGATCCCGCACCCCGCGAGATCCGAACCCAGGACCTATCAGTCTCGGGCCAGGTGCTTAACCAACTAGACCACTGAGCCGGCACCCGACGGTGTTAATGTCTAACTTCAACCAATCCACGAAGTTGCGCCACAGTACACCATTGTTTTCAGGGAGGTGATATCTCACAACAGACTTGGTTGAACTCCATTGGTAACGGCTTCTAACCAGAACTCCAGGCCGTTCAGTGCCTCCAGGTTTTCCATGGTGGTCTAGCTTCAATTGATTCATGATCTCAACTGTTTAAATTACCACAATCTCCACAAAACCCCTTCTGACAATTTTATCATTATCAAAAGAAATTTTAGATAGAAGTGAACTATTCAAAATTATCCATGAATAATTAACAGCTTGTGTTATGATCTACCTTAAATTTGGATGAATTTTCTCAAAACAACCTACTCAATTAACAATGAGTAATTTTATGATTCATTCAACAGATTTTCATTGAAATTTCTGCTTATATATATAACGCTTTGTTAAAGTTGATAAGTTTGATAAACTCCAATGATTAAGACACAAATTAGAATCTTGTCTCACTTATTTCAGTATAAGAAGCTGGAAGACGAGTAAACAACCTTATACCTAAGTAAATGAGTTACAAGATATTGGAATAAAACCATATTTTCTATAAGGAAATCTTAACTGATATTATTTACAAAACAATGCGTATTTAACGTTTGAAAAATTGTCATTATCACTATCAGAAGCTATGATGAACAATGTTGATAACTAGATAGTATTAAACAATTATTTAGTCGTTGTTTGGTAATTCACTGTAGTATTTACTAATTACTCCATACAATATAGAATTACTTATCCAAAGTCATTTACTTTCAAATCAGTGGCTTAACGACAACTCAAGGTTTTCAAATCCAATGCCTCATGAGATAATGGGTGGATATTATGAAGGTGTCCCTTACTAGGATGAAACAGATACCTTATCCAGGGTTAATTACATTTCAGTAGATTTGTAATTGACGTCAATTTATTATAATAGTATACTTTAGAATAAGCGAATTGTTTTACAATGTTACCCTCTTTGATAGATCGATTTAACAGTCCAACTTAAACACATAAATAATATTGAAAACTGTTTACACTTACCGAATTGATTATTTCCATTATTATTGGAATATCGTCATCGTGTTGACATTGAATAACAACACGTCTCATTTCAATAGAAATAGTTCAGGCTAAAACCTTGATTTATTTTCTTCACTTATGTGTGAATAAAATTATCAAATCAATGATTAACCAATAAGGATAAAGATTAACATGACATTTGATTGGTTCATTTGATGGTGTCTGCTATTCAAACCTTTACGTAGGAGACAGTTCCAGAAATCAGTTTGTTTTGTGAATTACATTTAAATCAATAGGCCGATTGAAGAATACACGTCTAAATTAATAAATACAAGGCCACAGTTTCATTGAAGATGAGTTTATCAAAGCATGTAGATTTAGTTTAATTAAATTTACACATTCGTTAATGGTAATTAGTAATCCAGTATTTCAACATTCTCATATTTTCTAACTGATTGTCTGAACAAGAAACAGCTTAGTTTTTTGTATTGAAAGGGAACTAATGATATTGCACATAGTGACAACTTTTTTTTCAAAAAACACTATTTATTGCGTCATATAAGAAATTAAACAAAAAAGACAACAAAATGAAATCACAGTAACACATTATGAGGGATACGCAGAGAAAACACATTTTAGAAATGATAAAACTATAAGTTAGTGATTGGAGGTAGTCGATAGAAAACTCTGAACCTAGGTCTCGTTTTATTTGGTACTCGTTAGCAAGGTGTGTTATATCCTAGTCAAGACTACATTACGAGTAACGTCTGAGACCTATTAATGGACCAATATTATTTATACATTCTTATGGTATAAATATTCAGTAACTAGATTACGTATATCTATATTTCCCTTGTTATAAGCTTTATTTTGACCTATATATTATTATTGTACGATTTACTGTTCTTAAGCCATGTTCAGTTTATTGATTATTGTCTCCCACATTCACAGTCACTTTTTGGCTTTATTGTGTACAAGGTGTACCTCTAATGTTGATGGGACTGATGCTACCCGATGAACTCAATCATCTGTTACCTAGTTTTATAATTAGAAATGTGACCACTAGGAATGAGTCGTATTTAAAATTGGTCGACCACTCAGAATTAAACAATATCATATCTGTCATGTCCTTCTTAGTGCTGGTGGGATTCTATCGATCAAGTTGCACCAGTTTCTAAAAAAATTACAGGTACACCTTGCTGATGAGTACTGAATAGCACGACACCTAGGTCCAGATTTCCCTATCGACTACTTTAATCACCATCTTACATCTCAGCATAGTCCACACGATATCGAGCCATTTTGATTACTGCCTGCATTGAAGCTAGGTCGATAAAATTCACTTAACACTAAAAGGGGATCTACGCACATGACATTGGTTGTTATTCAGTCATCAATCAATTGTAAGTAAGAAAAATATTGATAAGCTATCGTCATTTAGTGATGAGAACCAGTTAATACGAAACTCGTTTTTAGGAATTCCCGCTTATCACCTTTAGCCTCCTAAAATCAAAACATATAAAACCAACTAGACTAATGACCACACCATTATTTGATCGACAAAATTCAACATATATTAAAACAACTAAACAAATATGACATGGGATATTATTCAGTGATCAATGTGTTTAAATGAATATCCGAACATTCATTCACATATACTGCTGCAATCCCTCAGAGACAACGATTATCAAACATGGAGAGCCGTTTAACACCCTCAACTCGGAGAGGCCAGGTTTCACAAGCATAGAGCAAAACTGCTCTCACAAACGCTTTGTAGATCCAACCTTCTGCACTCAGACTGACATCACGAAGACACCAAAAGTGGTCCAGATTTGCATAAGCCGCTCTGGCTCTCACCATACGTCAATTAATCTCATTATCTACGCCACAACCAGCACCTGTGCAGCTACCTAGATACACAAACGTCCCAACTACTTCTATCTGCTCACTACCCGGGGTGAGTGCAGGATCAGGGGTCCTGTCAGTCTTGTAAAGGTACTTTGCACTTCGAAGGTGCAAAGCACATGCCATACCTATGAACATTGATCAAGTGCGGAATGTGTGGATCAAGTATTATAGCACAGTAAGACAATATCATCTGCAAGCTCAAAGTCTTTCTCTAAGCAACAGAACCACGCCACCACTATCTGCATCCATCAGAGCTGTTTCCAGAACATCATCGATGACAAAATTGAGGAATGGTGAGATTGGGCGACCCTGCTTAACTCCATTGCTTGAAAGAAATTATGGAGAGGTGATTGTATGGCCTTACTCGGCCCGAGGTGTTCGCATATAGGTCTTTCAAGATGCTAGTAATCTTGTCAACCACACTCTTCTTCAATGGACAATCCCAGCGAACAGTCCTATCTAACGAACAGAAAGCGGCCCTAATGCCAAACATCATGGTTATTGACCTGTAATAAGTATGACGATGGAGGAGGGAGAAGATATGATCATTGCATCCTATCAGGACGAAAACTAGTTTCCTCCCCGAGAGTCAGTCTTTGCCGGGTTTTGAGCAATCTACGGAGTATGACGGAAGCCAATATTTTGGACCCGATCGGTAGTAGACATCTTCCCTGATAGTTGTTGCAGAAACGTGGACCCTCCTTAAAGATAGGGGCAAATATCGACCCATTCTACAATGCTAAAATACTCTTTAATTACCAGAAGTCTGGAGACGAATCTACCACTTCTTTCACTAGGTCCCCACCACCTTTAAAAAGGACCGGAGGCAAGTCATCTGGGCCTGATGATTTGTGGTGTTTCAAGAGTTGGAGTTCCTTGTGGACTTCCGCCCCGTTATGTGGATCAGTCGTCATCAGCCATGGAGGGCAGGACAATCCGATCGATGTCACCAGGGTAGCAGGCAACCCGTACTGTTCCTTGTAAAACTCTGGCCATTGAACTAAGCATCTTTAGATGATATTGATTGATATCCCATTAGCTTCAAGGATTGTTTCACTTATACCAGACTTTTGTTGCCAGTGTCTCGAATGAGTTGAGCCTCTGACAGTTACCAGAATCAGTTGATGCTCCCAACTCCTTAGCGCGTTCTGACTATCAGGTTTCCCGGTCAACTACGCAACGAAATTGAAATTAAAAGTCGGTTATATGCAGAGTTGAACCCGAAACATGCTTCGATTCATTTCCACACCACATTAGTACAGGAGGATAGAAGTATCTAGATAAGTCCCAGAGCAGTAGTAACAACAGTATCAGCAATAATAGGAAACATCGTGTAGAAAGAAAAAAAAGTAAGGTTTTGAGACTAAGGAACTAAGAGAAGGCAATGAATTCATGCACTTGTGGACGATCTGAACCATGTCACCCAAAGTCTCTAACCACTGGTTACGACAATCACGTGAACCCCAAATAGGTAAACTACAGTTATTAACATGGCTCAAACCAAATGCTAATGACTTCATAGACTGATGCCATATTTTGGGTTGACTGCCTCTAGATTTCTTCCAACCCACTTCTGTACTAGCAAGTATTGGTTGTCAAGATGGGCGGTAGTTGTGAAAACGTAACGTACCCCAACCACTTTAGTTTATGAAGATTCACTACCATGCCAACTAATTTTCCATCTTGATTAAAAGTAGGAAGTATGTCAGTTAGCTACAACATAGGACCAGGTACACATATGCATCGGTCCAAGTTGCCACACTTCATTAGCACAAAATGAGCACCAAGTTCATAGTAGTTACTTCAATGGTAAGAAAGATTGTGTATAACGATATAATACAGGAAGAAAGAATTAGTTCGTAGAAATAAAGGTATAAAGTAGTTTTAATCTCACTACAGATCTACTGGTTGTTATGAGAGATGACTGAAACTAGTGATTTGATGATACACAGTGTGGTTTGTGATCAATGATAGTCTCTCTTTAATTGTCACCTGATAACATAGTTATCATTATCATAATCGAAGTATAACCTGGCAAAAACGTATGCATTGCCCCAATTAACCATATATACTAGCACAATGGATTGAATGTAAAAGGACGAACAGGAAGAGGGGAGGGATAATGTAGTAACAATAATAATCAGAAAGACTGGGGATTGATAACATGGTTTGGGAAGACAAAATGGGAAGGTATATATGAAAGAATATTGGAATTCAGGATCTAGAATAAGACAAAGAATGACCGCACGTGCTTCACTGAAACCCACTCCAAGCCATGTCACCTAACGCCTCTAATCACCAATTGCGGTTCGTTAGCATCCACTAAACATGGTTCAGATTAATAGTCAATGACTTCAGGGACTGATGCCATATGTCCATTTCGCCACTCCTAGCTTCCTTCCAACTTACTCCCATACAAACCTAACAAAGCCCGAAACAACATAATACACATAAAGTGAGACATGATTGTTTTTGAAGAGTACCTAGTAACGTTTGAAATATACAGAAAAAATTTTGGGTAAACACACGTTCACAATGATTATCAAAAAAATCTAAATCGAAATGACTAATTTGCTAACAAAACAGATTCTTTGGAAAAAACGGGAGCTTTCTTTATAATTACAAGTGTATGTTAAACAACTGCAAAAAATTACTGGTGTTTTCTAAATTGATTTTTCATAAATACTCATGAATGGAGCAATAAATACTTGGAAGAACACGTGTCCGACTTCATCTTGAATGTTAGTGTCTATAGTAGTATTAGTAGAACAGCATTTCTGACTAGGAATATACGGCAGTCCATAAGTAACAGTAACGCCATTGAATTGTATATCATTTTCGTGACTAGATGCACCGTTATCTTTACTTAGCATTGTAGTAGCAGAAGATGGGCCTGTTGAAGAACTACCACTACTGCTACACGTAGTTAAAATACGTAATGATAGTTTCTAGGACAAGAAATAAAACAAATACTTCACGTTATAAAAATAATACACTGTTCAATGTAATAATATACAAATAGTTAAGTAGTTTAGTTCATCTCGTCGTATTATTGTGGTACGACAAGTTGGAACACGGTACATTTGTACCAAGCTCTACGTTGATGACTGACTGAAAATTTAGAACAGTGTAATTCACCACACTTTCATCAGACGATAACTGATCGCTTTATACAGGTG